AAAATGGGTCGTCTCTGGGCTTTGACATTCACTCCCGTCATTTTTTTTTATGACTTTCGAGTTCTGTCAAAGAGGGGCAACTGTAGACAGCCCATTTTTGACCGTCCTCAAGACTTGGACGTCATCGTTTGAACACCCGATGATTTCGCATGCTCGTGTTTGTTTTGAGTCCCTGAGGATCTCAGCTGAGCGCCTTGCCTTGGAGCCTCTCAACTTGTCTGTTTTGTGCTTGGTTGTGGACCAAGAGTATGACAACCGTCACCACTGTTTACTGATAATACTACTGATTACTGCTAAACTGTGACTGAACATGATTAAGTAACTGATTTGACTGACATTCTGAATTGATTGATTGAGTGTATTAGTTTGAATGCGTGTCTATCTGTTTGACTGCTAAATGATCTCTTCATGTTTTATGTTTCGAACTATAAATTGAAGGCCTTATCGGCGGCCGAATCTGAAATCGATTAATGTTTTATGTTAATTAGAATTTATATGATTTTATGGTAGATTTGATTGAAATGTGATTTAGAATAATTAAATTAGATTAAAAAGTTATATTACATCAATTTGAGTTATTTACCAAATTGCCATTAGTGGACAATGCTAGGCCATCTATTAGTCTTGATTTACCCTGCTTGGCATCACTCTTCATTCATCTTCCTAGAGACAAAACCGACTAGAGAGAGACGGAGTTAGGAGAGAATTGTTTCATCTAGAAAATTTGCTTGAGACTTAGAAGATTTGAAGGATTCATTGCATATTGAGCTTCCATTCTTGAAATTGAGGACCTAAGGTAGGAGAATCATCTTCTTGAACTTGTATTTAAGTTGTATCTTGCATGTTTCATGGAAGTTTGGTGATTAGAGTCTAGAATTGGTTCAAAATATTGAATTGAAGCTTAAATCATGCATGCATGTACATGTTCTAGCATTTTGAGGTTGTTTTCATGGAAATTGCTACATGCATGTCCATATTCTAGCTTTGGTCCATGAATTCAGCATGTTTTTGGAAGGATTGACTCATTTGTTCTTGTATTAGAAGCTTTGAAGTTGATTAAATTCATGCATGTTGCATGTACATCATGTTCTTGAAGTTTTGTTTGGAAATGAGTTCAATTGAACTACCTTTGGGCTTTGATTTTGCATATTGATCTTTGAAAACATGTCATATTATGAGTTTTAAAGTATTTTTCAGAAAATTAGCCCAAAAAGATCAAATTTGATGCTTTAAATGTTGAGTTTCATGCTTGGAGACAAATCTAGAAATTCCAGATTTTGGATCCACGCTCGAGCGGGGAAATCCACGCTCAAGCGTACACTCTGATTTCATGCAGTCCGCTCGAGCGTGGAAAGTAACGCTCGAGCATGAAATGCGTGTATCCAGTACATTGCATGTGTTTACAGTCCGCTCGAGCAAGGGAATGCACGCTCGAGCGAGGACTTGTGTCTCACGCTCGAGCGAGGGTCGAGCGCCCATCAAGCGTGAATTTCATGCATCCAGTACTTTTGCACTGCTCGAGCGAGGAAAGTCACGCTCGAGCGTAGCTCTTTTGTCTGCATGTCCGCTCAAGCGGAGAAAGCCACGCTTGAGCAAGACCCCTGTTTTCTGAAAATCCTGAAAAGTGGTTTAAAGTGCATCTTTGCATCCTCATTTCATCCTAGGCATTCCTAGGCCATGTTTAAAACATCTTAATAAGGATATTGATGTAGAACCACACCGAGTCAAGTTAGGGACTAAGTCATTGATTCCCAAGTGTGTAACTTAGTGTGTGTTCATTCTGTAACTGTGTAGGGTTGGCATCCGAGGACGCTCACTAGCCTATCTGTAGCCCAGAACTCTGTGAGTAACAATGTTATAAAGATATATTCAATCATGAATATTTTCTGAATGATCAACTGTACTGCTTTCTGAAATGATATTTCTTACTGAATGAATGCTTGTCCTATTTGCGAACTGTATTCGTAACATCCATAGCAATTTATGGTTACTGTACTGTACTGCTACTGTCACAGAAATCTCTGTCGGTTCCCATGTTTGGAACCACTACTGTTTACTAATATGATGGCCATCAACTGACTGTTCGATCTGTTAAGACCTACTGTACTATTTGCTATTGGATGTACCACTTATGACTGCTATGATCGAATAACTGATATACTGTTCAAATGACTGTTTTAAATACTGAAAGGACATTCATTCTTAACCTCTTTACGCATATGTTATTCACTGGGCTTTAGCTCACTATTTATATATATATGTAGGTGTCCAGGCACCGGATCGAAACTAGGAGCGTTGGGTTTAACTCCCTTTTTTGTCAAGCCAACCACTGCCTCACTGAGAGGTTCCAAGTCCTTCAAGCTAGGGCTTTTTGGGGTGTTATAGATTCATCCTTTCTGTCTCTGTTTTTGTATAGATTGACTGTACCTGTACTGTCCTGTACTATTCTAATAGGGATTAGGTCCCTGTCCTGGATGATTGTATATGTATGTATATACTGTTTTGGTTCTGAATGTGAATATGTATGAAAAGTCTTTTTTTTTTCATACAGACTGTCACAGCTCATTGGACATCTTTTATTACTGTTTTGCCTTCCGCCAGCCCCTGTACTCTGTATTACTGTTATTACTGTTAAGCAGGCCTTCGGTAATCACGAATTACTGGCCGGTTACGGTGCTAAACCTATAGGAGCGGGTTTGGGTCGTGATACTCGTGAACCAGAAAAGCCATAAAAATCCCCTGCGAGTAGACCCCCAATCACCATCACTAGAAACCAAGACAGAAGAAGCCAATGTAGAGGACCCAGATGGGGGTTGAGACTAGCCCAAAGAAGAATGTAACAGCCAAGAATAGGCATTAACAGCAGACGATAAAGTCTCGCTAGTAAGAATTTGATTCTTGAACCGCCTCAATTCAGGATCGAAGCCAAAAAATAATAAAGCTATAATAAATTCCTCCCAATATTGCTTTTGTTTGTTCACGTCAGTAGTGAAGGATTGATGCTGCAATAACTGATTCCACAAGGTCTTGAGACTACTGTAATACTCGGGAAGTGACCGGCTAAATTGGCACATTGCAAAAATTTGCTCATATAACTCAAACCCATGAGACATTACTCTGATTCGGAAAAGATTCAACCAAGGAGTCCCAAATTTCCGTAGAGGTATCACAAAATTTCACAATAGTAGCAACAAGTGGTTCTAGACTATGCCAAATCCAACCCATAACACAGGAATCCTCACTCAACCAATCATCATAGCCTTTAAATCCTCAGCAGGTGGAAGTTCAATAAGAAACAGTGACTTCTTACCATGTAAGAAAATCTTAACTGCATGAGCCCAAGCCAGATAATTTAAACCATTTAATTTCTTAGTGGTAATTGACTTGGGTATTTCATCATCCTTAATTATAGAGGATTGAGAAACAAGTCTTGGTTCAGCCATAATACCAAAGGAAATTGGAAGAGCAACCAGAAATCTCAGCAGAGCAGAAAGAAGCATCCCACGTAGCAAACCAACAACAATCAAGCAACAAAATAGCCCAATAATAGAGTTCCAAGTTACAGAAGCAATTCAGAGAGAAGTCTGCCTATCAATCGAACAGGGAAATACTAAAATCTACACAAAAACTCCAAAATGCACCACCAAATCACAAAGCAACACTCAAGGATGATAAAGTACCCATTTTCGGCTCCCATAGAAGGTAACCTAATAGGTAGAAATCGCAGATAGTTTGCACAGTCGCAAATCAAATAAATGACACCAAATAACTCGAAAAACATTCAAAAATACAAAACTTACATCAGATGGTCCCAAAAAATTCTGGAAAAATCACCATTAATCTCAGGGAAGAGAGGAGAACCAATAGGTATCAACTCGTCCGTACGTATTGTGACATCATGATGACATCATCATTCAAAAGATGACGTCAGCACATCGCTTTTGCCTCAAAAGAACTTCAATAGTCTGATAACCACTAGACAAGGATGGATTGCTACTCTGATACCAAGTTGGAATGTATAACGAGGCAACTTAGGGTTAGGGTTTAGGAGGAAGAAGAAGAGATAAGAGAAAAGACAGGGAATTTTATATATCTGGAATTAAATTATATTAATTACATCAACCAAAATATATATACAAATCCTAACATAGTGATATGACCATCGTACTCTCAACTTAAGTAAATATTAACAGAAAAACAATAAAATAGAAAATAAGAACTATTCTAACAGTCAAGTCAGTGGTTGTCACATACACTAATCTTTCTTATAAGAGTGGAACTATGTTAATTTTTTTTTTTTTTTTTTTTTTTTTTGCATCGACCTTAATGAAAATGACTTTCCTATTAGGATCACATTTGATTTCCATACTATAAATATATCATGACATGGTACCATTTTACTAAATAATTGAATGGAAATTAACTTGCTTGGAAATTTCATGCCACTTAATGGTTCAGACTATCGTACTACAATTTTGGTATAGTTTCCATTAGAACTTCTATTTTTCTTTACCTTTTTTTTTCTTCTCATTTGGATATTTATTCTTACTACAAGTTATGTCTTTTATTCAGATGCATTGCACAGTTTATTGTCTACAAATGCTTGCCAACCATGCAATCAATAAAGATATCCTGAAGCCTGTCTGACTACTCTCCTCTCCACACCTAAGAAAAATATCTGAGCTAAAAAAGTTTGAAGCAAAATCTGGATAATTCACCAAATTCACATTCCTAGGGAAGTAAATCTCTTTCAACAAAAAATTTAGGAATTACAAAGGAAATAAGCCATTGGCGGATGATATTAATCCACAAAAGAGAACAAATTACCTCAGTGCATGATTAAGAATCATGAGAGTTGTAATTAATGAGTATCCATAGAAGAACCCCCTGTAAGAAAAAAATGATGAATCCATCTAAGCACTGTTACAGGACAACAAGACTTGTTAAGTGACAAACCAGTGATAGACACTCATTTTGAAAATGCATTGAATATGCTAACATATGAAGGCAAGCTAGAAAGGAAAGAAAAGAAAAGGGGGGGAGCGAATGCAACTATCATCCTGTTTTCTCTCTAAGAATTGACCATTCAGTTATGATCTAGTCTTCTCTAAAAGTTCCAAGGCAAGAAAGATGGAAATTGTACTATTTAGGTGCATCAGAGCAGGACATGTGTAATTTTATTTAATACATTAAATATACTCATAGGACTACATGATGCATATGTGACCCACCTAAGGCTGCTACATGTTGAAGGTGAACTCAAAAACTTTATAGAGGTCATCATAGTCAAACATGAGCAGAATTAGAAGCAAAGTATTTCGAAATTACTTGTTCATGACAGCATCAAAATCTTGAATCAGTATTGCAATAGCATTGAAGCACATTCCAAAGACGTATAACCAAAAGTTCTGCACATTTATGTTCCTCGAAGGGCGTTTTTTAATTATAGCCTGCAGAATAGAGATAGAGAAGCAAACCTAGTAACTATAATGACTATTAAAGTACTCAATTGAGAATTCCAAATACTTTCTTTTCAGCATAGCATCAATCAAGACCCTCTTTGGGGAGTTACTAACTTAACTATTTTCCAACCAAGATCAACCAAATTTCTGATCATATCCTATTGGCTGAGCAATTCTTTTTTTGGCACAAATTGGCTGAGCAATTCATTTGAGCACTAATCATGCCTTGAACAAGCACTGCAGTTCCAGACAACAAAAGAGGCAGATAGATGCTTAAAGAATTTACCTCTGTGTAAACTCCTGCAAAACCACTTAGAAGTGCCATAACCTGCAATTGTTAAAAGGAAGTATCAAGCGATAATAAGAATCAAGCTTTTCTCTTCAATTGAGGGGATTAAGCTTAAAAACATCAACAACTCACAATGGCCATCACCCAACCTTGAAAAGGAGTTTGAAGGACTCTATCAGAACTGCACAAACAATCTCATTTTGTAAGAAATAGCCAATAATAAAGAAAAATAAATAAATTATAGATGATATCCTAAACTACAAAGCAAGGAACAATGTCCCTTTGTTCTCAACCATGGTAACATGAATAAAGAAACTGATATATAATTCAAAGTCATTAAGAAATACGCTTAGGTATAAGCAGAACATCAGTAATTCAAAGATTTTCATTCATCACTTGGTCACGAGCCAGGGCCTGCATATCATGGATACTCATCGTTCATGCCAGTCCAACTGAACCAATCCAACAACAGCTTTAAAGAAATTTTCAAGGCCAATGTTCCAAATAGACTAGTAAAGCAATGTGTTTTAACAAACTCTGAACAAAGCAAATTTGAAAACCCATCAAAAACACAATTAAAAAATGGCCAGGATCACTCTTACGAAGAATTAAGTTGTGCTGTGGTGCACCCTGCACATAATAGAATGAAAGCAGCCCATTGAATCTCGCTTAACCTGAAAGAGAACACAATATCTAATAAGTGTCTCAGTGGCCTTTTCATTTGGTGTTTCATCTCAAAGAAACCTTGAGGATTTAATACTATGTTCTTTGCAATTACTCAGATTAACATTAGTAGCTGAGTTTACTTCTCCTTGGTGGATAAATAGCCCAGCTTGTGGATGCTTTCATTCATGTTAGTCATGATCGCAAAAAATAATGTCAACATGGAAACCTAATAAAAATGATAAAGAAATTGTTCTTGTTCAATTTTTCCCTTCTCTCTTTTGTATGAAGACCATAATTTCCTGACATTTTAGATAAAGCTGTTGTAAAAGTAGTTTAAGCAAGTTTTTGCGATGTTAGTAGATTCTATTCAAACCGTTCCTTTTCTTTTAGAGTCAGCATTTCAATAGAGGTTATATTATGTCAGAAATAGTGTCCTACCCATGATGAACTAAATTGGTTGGTGCCTTCAAATTTGGATATAATTCTTATTAAATGGCAGAAGGACTTACTTCTTCTTAAGAATGATTCGGTATAAAACACCAGTACTGATAATATTCAGGTTCTTCAATATTTGATACCCCGGAGCATCAACATAAGCAAAAATGTAATACTGCAAGAAAAAGTCATGTTTTAGAAACCAATAAGACCAAAGCCATTATTGCCCATGAGGCAAAAAATAAAAAATTGTAACATACCTGAAGCAAATTTTTTACAAGATAAAGTGCTGCAGGTATCGGGTAAACACTAACTTCATCCAATGTTGTACTCAACCTAATAGTATGAGGACATGCATAAGTACAAAGATTTAACAAAGTAGATTCACAAATTCCTGAAAACTGAGGGGCAGAAAAACACACTCACGCATACACACACAAATGGGGGGGTGGGGGGATTGAGATGCAAAAACAAATGACCTGTTATCATCAGTAACACCTTCATTTCTCCATATTCTTACCAAGGCTGCAAGTGATAATGCACATTTCAAAGCCTCTACCTAATATTCCAAAAGAAGGAAACTGAAGGTCAACTTCAAATTCTGTTAAGATTTATCCCAAAAAAAAACTTCAAATTCTGTTAAGATCAACTCTACCACCATCTTATCCTACTACTATAAGATGAATAATCATAAAGACAGACATTTTGAAAATGTTGTATAAATGTTGCTTCACGGTTCACAACATGCCCATTTAAATCATCTCAAGTGGAGAATATTTTGCCCTCACCGAGAAATTTGCAGTTGTAACACTGTACTCATACTTTCCAGCTCTCTTGGACCAGACAATAAGGATCGCCTGTGAACTTGTAAGAAGAGTCAATGCAAGTGTAACAACTGACCTATAACAATAAGAAAGTATTGTCAATGAGACTATTTTATTTTGCTCTGTTCTAGCCAATAGATGTGATGTACTTATTAGAATTGAATGATAGGTAGGCCTTACTTGAGCTTCCATTTAGATCGTTCACTAAAGCTGCCTCCCAAAGTGGCCAAATTAGTAGCAGGAACTGCAAGATTAGCAGTTATCATGATGAGGACTAAGGAAAGCAGATGACATGGAAAGCACGACAGATTACCGAATTCAAGTGACTTCTGCATCAATTTCAAGGTCAAGCTTTTAACAAAAATAACATACCGCCTGAAAGAGCTTTCCCACGTAGGTTCTCTATATCATCATCACCAATTGGATCCACATCTTTATCCTACAAGAACCATATTATTATTATTATTATTATATATATCACCAGTGCCAGTGGACGTACAAAAGCACAAACCGAAACTGAACTGAATGCTAAAAGTAATCAGCCTTGTTGAAATGGAAGACAATCCACACGGAATCCATCTGCACTATTCCAAGTTTCTTAGCGCAGAACACAATGCATACAGACAGAATGTGAAACAATTGGACAGGTGATGTACAAATAACAATTCTTCCAAGGAAGGACAGACAAAATAATGGAGCAGAAACGCTTTTTTGCATATTATATATAAGAAGAAGAACCATAAAGAGTAGAGAAGGAAAAGGAAAATGAAAATGACAATCAAGGAATCAATTTACCGCTTCGTTTGTATTATTAGTAGATATCAGAAATCAATACACGGGCAACAAAAATGCAAGCAAACTCAACCAAATCTAAAAACTACTTCAAATTGTGGAAAACAACTTAAACAGTATCGAATTGGATCTGATAGAGAGAGAGAGAGAGAATCAAAATGAGACTTGAGAAACGTTAGATACAGTTTTTAGGGTTTATTGATTGATTGGTGTACAAAACTAGCAAAACCTGATGATGATCTTTGATTTTCCGATACTCCATTGAGGGTACAGATGATCTTTGATTTTCAATTTCCGAATGCCGACTGTCAGCTGCACTGCACTGCTTTATAAATTATAATTCTCTGCACTTTTTCTTTCTGTGGTCTGCTTAATAAATCAAACAAGATTATTTAACAAAATTACACTCACTCACAAGTATACTGTTTAATTTCAAAAATAAATTAATTAATTAATTAAATTATACGTTAATTAACGATTCTAAACAAATGATCAAGAATCCCCTGTCCTCCCTTTGTTGAGTTTTTGAAGAGGGGACGGCTTCCCTACCGTCAACCAGGAATGGTGGTTTTGGCAAGTTGATTTGTGGTTAAAATAGTCATAAAAAATAAAATAAGGGTTGGTTTGGTAACGGTTTATTGGGTTTTTTTGGCTCAATGAGTCATAAAAGACAGAATAGGCTCATGAGTCACAGCAGACAAAATATCCCATCTAACCCCATAATCATTACACTCTTCTCTTACAAAAAAATCAAAAAAGTCAAAAAGCCAAAAGCTCTTCCCAAACTAAGTTTTTGAGCCCATAATCATTACACTCTTCTCACAAAAAAAAAATCAAAAAAGCCAAAAAGCCAAAAGCTCTTCCCAAACTAAGTTTTTGAGCACAGGCTCGTATAGTCAAAAAAAAGCTAAAAAGCCAACTCACTTCCCAAACGGAAATAAAATATCATATTCAATTCATAATTATTACATTATTCTTTCAAAAAAAAAAGTTAAAAAAACTAAAAAACTAAAAATTCCTTCCAAAACCAAACTTTTTAGTCCACCCTAAAATAGTCAAAAAGTTAAAAAACCAACCAACTTCCTAAACGGAGGCATTGTTAGATTCGTGAAGGTTTATCATAAGTTCTATTTCGATAATTCGAATCATTTAATATGTAAAACTCATCGAGTATTATATTCTTAAAAAAAATCATGTTGGTCAGATATCGATAGTTATGTAATCAAAGAAGTTTTATATGAAAAAAATAAACGGTAAAAAATAAATGGCTTACAAAAATCTTATTTGATCACATAGCTATCGATATCTAATTAACGTGATTTTTTACAGGTGTATCGTATTCGAAGAGTTCTACACGTTGACGATTTTGATTATTAAAATGAAACCTGTGATGGGCTCCCATAGGTCAAACAATACCCTCCAGTCCGATCATGGACTAGAGGGAAGCCATTCCCTTTAAAGAGGGCTATCACTAGCATCACATTAATTATTTTAGACTTCTTTAGTTTTTTTTTATTATAATAATAATTTCAAATAAAATTATTAAAAAATACATCAATAATTTTGAAACACTCCATCTCACAATTAAGTCATACACCCACTATATCATGAGTTAAGGTTTTTTAAAGCATCCATCTTCATCACCGCTGATCCATCTTCTCAAAATCCTACCTTTAAAACCTACACATTCTCAAAATCTTGAAAGCCCTTTGGCAGCAATATTCCTGCGACAACGGTGGTAATCATTTGATTATGTACACTTTTCTAGTAATGACAATGAGTGAACGTTTTTCTAACAACCACAACTCTCTATGAGACGAGAGGAGTACAACAATAAAAACTCAAAAGATGTTTTATAGCTTTGTGATATTCTTAACTTAGAGGAGATTGACCTTATAAGGGTAAATTCCTTAAAAAATTGACAAAAATAATAAAAATTGTTTGTCATTTTTTCAGGACCGAACTCCCGAATATGTGATTGAAATTCAGGAACTGTAACGACCCAGAACCGTATACGATGATTACCAGTAATTAATTATGTGTTAGTATGATTTAATTGAAGATTATCTGTTGAACTTAGAAAATACCTGTTGAGATTACGACTTCGGGACTGAAATTGATGACCGTAATGGGTTCAGAAAACGAAATTGAGCACGCCTATGTGATACCGAGAATTTTTAGAGCCATTTGGGAAAATAATTGAGAACTGAGTTTCGTCTGATTCGTTAGGCCATGTTTGGCTCAAAGTTTGGCACAATTGTTTATAAATGATATATAGATAAGTATAAGGGCCTTTATTGACTCTTTGACTCAAAAACAAAAGAGAAGAAAAAAATCTGGAAATGAGAGAGAGAGAGAATTCGTGAGAAAGGGGAAGAAGAGGAGGAAAGAGAGAGTCAAGCTAAATCTTCTACAATTAAGTGATTGAGGTAAGGATTCCTCTCTAATTTCCTGAAATAAGGTTGATACATCAATGATCTCGTGTTAAATAAGAGGATTGAAAGGGGAAATATGTTTAATTTGAGCATGCATGGCATGAATAGATGATTTATGGTTATATTTGTCATATTTTGAGGAAGAACCTCCATGGATTTAAGAATGAAGCTTTTATGCTCAAGTTTATGATTTTCTATTTTACTCCAAGATTTGAACTTCTATTGTTCCATATGGGTTTTGATTTGAAGTTTTGATGTTGATTTAAGATGGGTTTTAAGTGTTTTGGGTCTTGGATTTCATAAATGTGGAAAGTGATTTTGTAAATAGGAGAATGAAGCTTGGAAGAAGAACCAGAAATTCGGATTTTTGCTCTGTACGCTCGAGCGGAGGGAAGCCCGCTCGAGCGGTGAAAACAACCTCCCAGCAGTTTTGGGACTTTTTACAGTACGCTCGAGCGGCCAAAGTGGCGCTCGAGCGGGAAGGCCTTTTTCAAGAAAATTTTGGGGAAGTTGCAGACTTGATTTTAACATGTTAATTGCATCATTTATCATCTTATGAACATGAAATGAGTATGAATCAAAGTAAAGAAAGATTAGAATGAACATGAAATGAAGTAAAGGAAAGAATGAAGTGCATGAATTACAGGATTTAATGATAATGTGTATTGAGAAATGTGTGATATGTTGATATTTGCAGGTCAAGATTTGAAGGTCGTGCATTCGGTTTCGGAAACCCTCTGTGAGTAACATTTCTGTAAAGATATGTTATCATGAACTATGTTTTAAATGTATTACGTTATGCTATGCTTTGAAATGAGAATGTTTTCCGTGAATGAATATCCTGATTTGCGAATCTAGAATGGCATCCATAGATAGTTGGGTCATGGGGGCGGGAACATGCAGGCCCATGCGTCATGAGTCATGGGGAACGGCATGGAAGGACAAACCCATGACTAGTTACGAGATCTCGTAGACTGTTGACTGATAGACTGTTATGAAAGGTTCTGTGCAGTATGCCATTACGTATGTTCTTATGATGACTGATGACTGATATATGTTTATGATTGATTTATTGTGGATTTATGAAAATGTCGGACTTCGTTCACTAACCTATTTACTGTTATGTTACTTGTTGAGCTCTAGCTCATTGTTTGTAATTATGTATTATAGGTGAGCATTCTGGAAGTCAAGCCTAGGCGGGTTCTCGAGCCGAGCCGCTGTTTTGAAGCCTAACAAGTGTTTTGTGTGCTCCGAGCCGGGGCTAGGCCTGGAAGGCCGTTTTGTGAGCTTTGTCTTGTTGTATCTGTGGCTTTTGCCTATGTGTTGTATATGATCTTTTATTGTATGTGATGTAATGTAGTGGGTAAATTAACATTTTTGGCATGTAATGTATGTTCATATAAATGCACAGCTCTTTGGACTATTAGTGGTTATTGTTTTCGCTTCCGCGAGCCCTTTCATTTATGTTTTGTATAGCAAGGCCTGTGGTAATCTAGGATTACTGGCCGGTCTCGTTGCCAAATTTCTAGGGGCGAGTTTGGGGCGTGACAGGAACACAAGCCCGAACGTTGTTTATTTATTCAGGAATAAGTAACCGAACATTTCTTATTTGTTCTGGAACAGATAACTGAAGCAACAACCGATGCAACAACAGAAGCAAGCAAACAGATAAGGTTGAACCGCCCTTGGGTGGTCAAGTGGTGGATAAATTTTTGCCCAGTTTTTCACAAAGAGCATACAAGTACAACGAGGCCATAGATGAATGACAGAAAACTAACTAGAGAAGTATGAAAGTAGATTGTGTTGTGTGTATAAAAAAGTTAAGAGAAAAAGTGGATTATACCATCGTGAGTTTTGTTAGAGTTTTAGGAGAGAGACTTTTTGGCATATAGGGCGTGTGGAGGTGTGCATTTGACTGGGTGAAATGTTTTTACAAAGATAATTTTGGTATTGTTTAGGAAGAGAAAAAGAAATTTTAAGTGTTTTTCAATTTATAAGTGGGGGTTCAAAATAATTGATGGAGTGTTAATATACTCTTTTTAAATTTTGGTTTAGAATATTTGTTAAAACTTCTTTTACTATACTTAAAAAATAAAAGATATATATTAAAATAATGAAGGTATTTTCTTACCAAATTATTATTATTAATTTTTAAAAATAAATTCTAAAAATTCAATTAAACATATTGTGGACAATATTATTTTAGTGATGTGCTGAACTTACCCAATTATGTTTTTATGATACTAGCATAAAGCATGCAAGATTCATAATATTATTTTAAAATTAAAGTAGTAGAAATTTTTTAAAATGTATAACATATATATATATATATATATATATTAAAATCAACTAATTTCAAATACTTATATTGGAGCTACATTGAAATAACGTTTATTTTGAGCTACCACTAATGTTCCAATCCAATTATTAAACAACAATGGCATATGCCATAAGGAAATTGATAGAAATTAAACAAATAATAATAACAACTTATATTACAAAAGTTGTAATTTTAATCAAAGACAATTACATTCCTTCTTACAAAAATTTGTAACTGTAGCCAACTCAATAAATAAAAAAAATATTTTTGTGTATAAAATAGGATTAATTTACCTTTCTAATCCTATGAAATAACTAAGTTGAAGCTGGATCAACCGAGGAAGTAGTGTTTTCGGCCCAGACCATGGCCCAAAACTGTGTTACTACTACTTACTAGCCGGGCAGGCAGCCTAGTAAGTAAATTTTCACTTGAAGTTGCCGAACGGACCCCACACGACTCCTCCTCTTCCTACACACAAACGAATATAAACAGCTGTGCGGTGACCACTCATCACACCACCCACCGACGGCGTCTCCCCTCCCTCCTTTTTGTCGACTCTTCTCCCTCCTAATTTAATTTCCCTCTCTCTTTCTTATTTTATTTTTCCCTTTAATTAACACATACATACATACGCGCCACAACAACCACCTCCCCGTCAACATCAAGAACAACCCCCTCCCTCCCATTCTCTCAACCTCCTCTCAACTCTCTCGCTTCACTTTCTCCATTCGTTCGTTCATTCATTATTCCATGAGCTTTCAGATGCGGAGCTTGATGCCTTCCTCCATGAGCAGCGGCGCCACAACCACCAAACAACAAGGAGGACTACCAGTTTCACAAACTCACTCCAAGCAGCAGCAGCAAGAGCAAGGCCTCCGCCGCAGACTCTCCTCCCTCTCTCTCAAAATCCAGCCCTCCCCTGAAGCCGCCGATGCTACTTACTCATGGGTCCTCCGCCGATCCAAATCTGTCTCCTCAATGGGAGAGTACGCCGGAAGTTCCATCAGGAAATGGTGGGATTGGGGATGCGGTTGGATCCTCTCCAGAAAGCCCACCTTCGCCAGAGATCTGGAGATGAACGAACAAGAGACTACTGTTCTGGGCTGCCACAGCAAGGGTAGCTGGAGACACGTCTTCTACAAGCTCAGAAAGCTTCTAGTCCGCCCTCATCATAACCTCCCTCAAACCTTCAGGTACGACTCCGTTACTTATTCTCAGAACTTCGACGATGGAATCGGAAAGATCAACACCAGATCCCATCTTAATCATTGATTCATTTGGGCATCCATATCCATCAATCAATGTCGTTCTGGAAAATTAACATCATCATGTCTTCGTGGAAAAATAAAGCTGTAGATCGTCTCAAGATCAAGCTCACGTTTTTGTATCTGCCATATCGTTCGTTCCTTCCTTCCTTCCTTCCTGCTTTCTTTCTTTTATTTTTTATTTTTTAAATTTTTTATGTTGATGATGAATGGTGTTAATTGGGGGACTTTTTCATTAAGGGGGTGTTGTTACTTGTTAATTGTATGTAAATTAGATGTAAGAATTTCTAATACGTAAATGTGGGTTTGTTTAGATGTGAGTGGGTCTAAGGATGTCGTCTGGGCTCCCAAAAAACAAAAAAAAAACAATTGAGTGCAATATTTTTTTAAATACCAGTATGTAATTTCATGATTAATTTCTTCATTTATTTGAGTTTAGTCTCTCTGCAGTTTCTCTATTATGTACTATGAGACTTTGATTCAATTGAATGTTTATTATTGTCCCTCTACTATTTCTTGCAAATAATTCTTTGTTAATTTTGTTTTTTTCTTATATTAATTACTCACAGAATTTTGATTTTTTTGATAATCAGGATGTTAATTAAAGCTCTTCATTGCATTTTATGAAAAAAGAATTAAAACAAGATTAGAGATAATGCAAGGGCTCGTCCCGTTGTCTGCGTGATAAATAAGAGCAAGGATCCTTTAGAGTTTTTTTTTCCTAAAATTTCCTAGAGTGGTGTATTGTGTGGTTGAGATTTAATAACAAGTCACATCAATTTTTCAACATTAAATCTCAATCACACAATATATCACTTTAGAAAATTTTAGAAAAAAAATACTCTAGAGGATCCTTGATGGATAAATAAAGAGTCTCATTTTTGGCTTCAAGCATTTTTAATTTTTAATAAAGTTACATCTGTATATATGAGAAACTCAAAAAAAACAAAGTTGTAGTAGTATCAATCTAGCTGTAATATTATGGAAGAGTCCATCAAATCCTATCTACCATGAATTTAGATTTTTGAATTTTGTAAAAAAAAAAAAAAAAATTATGATAAAAAGAAAAAGAAAAATAAAAATAAAAATGATTGTTTTTGTGTGCTGTTTAAGATACAAAGGGAATATACTTTACATTATTAGATCTCACCCACCGTCTCTTAACATGGTAGTGAAAGTGTCGGTGCATTATATTGATACACCTTCATTTCAGCTGGTTATTCTAAAATAAATAAATAAAGAAAGAAAAAAATGAGTAAATAATGTGTGTTTAGAAAATTGCTATTTTAGTAAGTTAAAATTTTTGTATTTAAAAAGATCGTTATATTTTTTTGTAGTTAGATGTAATGTTTGTGAAAATAAAAGTGAAATAATTATGAGTTTAATATGATATTTTATCTTATTAACTATTTTAACATATTTTATCTTATCAACTATTTTAACTTATTTTGTTTTTAGATAAATTTTAACCCAAAAAATCCTTCCCAAACATCCCATATATTGCGCGTGACCACAACAAAAAGAGGGACACGATGTTATGGTGTTGCATGTGAGTCATGAATTGACACCATAACTCCATATGATGACAACCGACAACTGTATAAGGCCTAATTTTTTAAATTAGGCCTTTCATATATCATTATTTAAAAAAAAAATTATTTAGATAAAAAGATAAAAATTTATTTCTATTGCATTATAATTTAACAAAATTTAGATAATAAATATATATATATATATATATAATAGTTGAATTTCAATTAGTTGAATCGAATTTTTATTTTTTAGCTTACCAATGCTATAAGAACTAAAATTAAGTGGAGATAAGGATGCAAATTTTTTATACAACTCAAGCAATATATAAAATTAGTAAGTTAAGGTTGACTATTTTTCAACATGAATTCAAGTATGACACGACTCAATAATATGAATTATTAGTTATATATTTTAATGTTCACTAAGGGAAGTCATGATAATTTTTTAATCTTTTATTTAACTCCATCTAACCGAATAAAAAAAAGTATGTAAAATAATAATTAAGGTTAATATCTTTTTTTCATTTAAGATTTTTTTTTTTGTTACCTACTTTAAAGTCAATCTAGTAAAAAAATATAGTAATAAGGTACAATTTTTTTAATTAAAAAAATGCAATTGAGTTAAAATCAAATATTCTATGAATAATTTCATTTAGTAGAAATAAATTTTTATAAAATTCAACTTATAGGAAAAATTTTAATCTCTCTATACACTTGCTAAGTTAATTTTAACTAAAAGTGAAAGTTTTCACATTAAATATCAATCGGACACAAATCAAAATAAAACCATACGATAATATGATAATAAATAAATTGAGTTAGTATTGAAGTACTTATGAAATGACACAATATGATACACTTCTTTAATTGAAAATCCTAAATTTTATTCAAAATTAAGGGCCCGAAGCGACCGCCTTAATCGCCTCACCCCACCCTAGGGCCGTCCTGAGTTGAAGAAGGGCTTTGTTACTATAAATGAGAAGATGGTTATAGAATGAGAGATGGTTATGGAACAGACAAGCAACCGACACACACATATACACATACACGATGTGAGTCTCGTCTCAACTCATCGAATAATGTTATATACATCAATTAAGATATCAATTAATTGATAACATAATATAATTTAAAAAGTCTTTAATATTTAAAATTTGTATAATAAATGAGGTCAATAATAATATAATAATATTATTTGTACTAATTAATGTATTAACTATCAATTGATGATGTGACATAATTTAAAAGATTTTGATATTTATAATGCGATTAATAAGTGAATTAATAATAATATTATAACTAATATTGATACATTAATTAATACACTAATTAATATATATAATACTATCAATAATAATATCATAATATATACTAATATACTAATTGATACACATAATATATCGGATCTCATCTCATGTCCGTAAGACTCGGAAGGAAGGAAGGAAGGAAAAGAAAGTCGTGGGTAATATACAAAAGACAAGACACGTTCGTGCGAAGCCAACTAGCTGGTTCCAATTCATGCATATACACGCTGTGGAAATCCCAACTAGCTGGCTGGCTGGCTCCAATTCATGAAATACAACTCTGACCCAAATCAATGCATTGTAGTTACCTGGGGTGGCAATGAAAATTTCTAGTTGCGCACGTTCAACTTTTTTTTTTTGAACAGTCGCACGTTTAACTAATTAATTTATTTATTTTTATATAATTCCTTGCAGTAATATTTGCTAATTTATAACACAAATAAATCAAAAATAATTTAAAGAAATACTCTCATATCAGATCACAAATTTAAAAAAAAATAAATTAAAATCATATTAAATAGGTACATAATATTTATTTGGGTACACGATATTAAACTAATCTATTAATTAATTATGTTATAATTATTAGGACAATCTATTTTATAATTCAATTTATTAAACTGATGTGAAACAAAACCGGTAAAAGAACAAACTCAATTTTGTAGTTACATAAAATTTATTTATATAATGATAAAGATTTATCTTTTCTTCTTATTTAATAATTAATTTTATGAGAATATTTATTTATTTTTTATAGACAGAGGGTGAAGTATAATGATGACTTAGAAGAGATATAATACCATGATGGGAGATTTTAATATGCATTCTTTTAAAAAATGTGTACTATATATATTTTTAATTATTGTTTTCTTTAGTTATAATCAATTTTTATTTTTAGTTATGATATTTTTTTAGTTATGACTCATGAGTTCTTTAGTTATGTTTTATGTTGTTTTAGTTATGATTTTTTTTTTTTAAGTTATGACTTAGACAATTAAACTTGTTTAATTTTTATTTATGATTATAAGGTGCATATGATGTACACCCTTTGAAAGATTTAGGGTGTGTGTCATAGTATTTGCACTACAATGATAAAGAGCATTTCTAATTTGCTCGTTAAAATTATTTGTTAGTGTTATATGACAAAAAATTGTAATTCATTTGTGTTAAGTGTTTATTAATTTGAAAAGGTAAGGTCTCGTTTGGGAATATGTTATTTTTAGTAATTTTTTAGCTAAAATATAAGATAAAAAAATAGTATGTTTGGAATGACTTTTTGATTTTTTACGAAAAAATGTGAAAAGTATAATAATAATAATAAAAAGAAAAGAAAATAAAAAGAAAACTTTGATTTTTTTATATATGTTATAGACTTTTTGATTTTTTTTAACAACTTTTAAACTAAAACTGTTACATACCGAATGAGGCCTAAGTATATTCACCAATAATATAACTACAATGTTGGTTAAATGGATATCTAAAAATTAAAAAATAGTAATCACTTTATTTGTTTCTAGTATTCAGAATTCATTTTTCAAAAAATTCAACTTTTTCGTTTTCTATATTTTTTTGTTTTTACTAATTTTTTTAAATATTTTAAGCAATTTTTTTTATAAATTTTTAGACACACCTAATTAACATAAATATACTTAGAAAGTATAATATTTGTGAAAAAAATATTTAAAAAAATCACCAAATACAAAAAAATAAAAAATAAAATACGAAAATTCGGTATATTTTTCCTATTTTTGTGTATTTATTAATTTTTTAACATATTTTTCACAAATAATTTACTATTTAGATGTATATAAGTAAAGTACATCTAAAAAAGTAAAATAATTATTTAAAATTTAAAAAATATTCACTAAAAACAAAAAAATACAAAAAATAAAAAACTTCAATTTTAAAAAACTAAATTCAAAAAATTAAAACTAAACGCACAGAATAATATTAAGGGTAAATTACACTGACACCCCCTGAGGTTTATATTTATTACAGTTCACCCCTCACATTTGGAAAATTACATTGACCCTCCTGTTAATTTAATTTTATGTATGATGATCATTATGGTAAGAGGGGAACTGTTATGAAACTTTAAATCTCAGGGGATAATATGTAATAAAACTTTAAACCTCAGGGAGGGGATGTAATTTCTAAAAGGTGAAGGGAAAAACTGTAATAAATATAAATCTCAGAGGGTGTCAATATAATTTACCCTAATATTAAACATCAACTCAACCTTTACACCATTCTCTCCCTCCTCTCTCCTCTCTTCTCTCATTTCCTCTCTATCTGGAGAAGTTATTAGTTGGTGTACATATGTTTTAATTGGTGAAGAGAGTAAAATTTATAATTTGTATTAAGTGATTGAGAAATGTAAAGAAATATAGAGATTTTAACATGCATTATGATTGATGAAGAAAAAATTTATAATTTTATATTAAATAATTAAAAAATATGAAAAAATATAAAAATTTGTGATTTACCTGGCATGACTACTAGTATGCACCAATAATTTTTCCTCCAACTATTCCTTTTTTCAGGGAAAATGCCCCAGACCCCCACCACCTCCACTGTTTTCTGATTGGTTCAAAAAATTTTTTTTTTTTTCACTCTTGCTCTCACAGCCCCCCATGTGGAGGTGAGGGTGCTGGGGATCACCCCACATGGTTG